AATATTAAGAAAATTGGAAAGAGATTTTTCTTGATCTTTCAAGTACACAATCTCAAAGCAAATGTCAAATAGAATATCTGTTGTTCGTATTTTTAGCATAAGCTGCTGCAATTCATTGTATATAAATTTTTACAATTGGGAGTATATGTTATCTTTTCAACTTCATGTTCTTCTAATTCTGTGAGTAATATTATTACTAGAAGATTTAAATTAACAACGTAATTTGTCGTCGAGGAACAGGCGTGCCATAGTTTCATGTTAGAAAATTTTTAAATTAAATACCTTTAGACAATAAATTTAATATGAAAAATACTGGAGTCTGCCTGTAAAAAAAAATTGAATGCTAACTTTGATTCTAATTTAGAGGTTCATTTGAATTACTGCATCGGAAACAAAACTTGTATAACAACACAACGTACCTGATTATATCGAACCCGACGTTGATGCAATACCTTTTTACGTTTAATGAGAATAGATTTTAGTTAATGTTAATAAATTTATTTAAAAATATAAACAAACCGCTCATATTCTATAAATATAAACAACTGAGCCCAGCTATACCATAAAATGGACCTTAAATTTAAAAATCTAATATGCACCATAAATTCTACCTGCCTTATATTTATTTGTTGACAAGTTGGATCTATAAGAAGAAGAAGAAGTAATGACGTTCCATAAAAGTAGATAAGAAATATCATTGATAAGGTGATCAGTTGGTGTTTCTCCAGGAGATGCTGAGATTTGCATTATTTTGAGAAGTTGCTGCAATTACTTCAGTTTTACATCTAGTAGGACGAAGAATAGATAGATATCACGTGTTAAATATTTTCGACACGTTTAAATATAATAATAATAAACATATTTTTTTAAATAAGGCAAGCTTTTTTAACATTTCTCGACTAGCTTAATTATCTTTGTCATTATTAGGCTCTCACTACCTTCGATCCATCAATTTTATCAAATAACAAATAAATTAAATTTCTCCATACAATGTCAAGTGCTTTACAATTATACTATAACAGCACCGACATAAATTATAATAAAAGAAAAAGTGACAATGTAGTGAAGTATCTTGAGTCGTATTAGCAAAGTTTCTTATACAGTATATAAAAAAATGTTTGACAATCTTGACGTCACTGCAGAGAACAGCCTTTTATCTCGTAAAAGATAATAGTACGAATCTACATAAGGAACTAGAAGTTTCCAAAAATGATATTGTAACCGTAATCGAAAAGAGCGTCGTGCTAAGGTTAATGATTCTTTTGTCAACCAAATTTATCATAACAATGGTGTGACTCTGTTACACATGCTCACATGGTGATGAATCAAAAAAAAAAAATTATATAAATGTGAAAATTTGACTTCTGATGTTTCGATGGAATACTATAAACTCTTTCCCTGTGGGTATTGTTCTTTAGAAGATTTCTGACTGCATTGCTTTTTTGCAATAATTTATATGAAATTAGCAACGAATCAAGTTCTTCAAAAGGTTGTAACAAGGTTAAAAGCTTTTAAACACAAAGAAGGTTGGTTGAATTTAGTGCTGTGCACATGGACTGTATGGTGACTTCTTGCGCCCCTTGAAGGGTTCGTCCCGACGAGGGTGAGCAATAAATCCTCCGTAAGTAGCAAAGGAAGTTTTTTACCAAACTCTTTGTTTTTTGTTAGGTTCGTTCTGGTGGGAAGATGAGGCCCTGCATCTCAATCAAGTAGACGAATTAGATCTGGACATGTTTTTGATAAGGTCCTATATCCTGGAAACGTGATCTTTTATATGCCTTCCTTTATACAACAATGAAGTTGAAGAGTTGTATACGTAGCGCCGGTAAAAAAAAAACGAAGCAGAGATACGGACATATCTTCCTCGTCAAAAAAAAATAGGAAATCCGATGGATAAATATAATAGTATATCAACTCATCTAAACTACAAAATCGGCAGCCGGATAATGTAGTAATCACGTAAGTCGGTGTTAATCGTAGAATTATAATAGTGCTTATTTACATTTTGACATTTTATATATTCTTTAGACTCAGTTTATAAAAGTATAAACTTTAAACAAGTTAAAATTGGATACTTTAAAGGTTTGAACCGGTCTAAAACACCTTTAACCAGTTAATAACCGGCGAAATTTTTTGTAATCACAAAAATAATATTTTGGCCGAAAATTAAATTTCGGCCAGTGTTATAATTAATTATTTTAACCGGCGGTTAATTAACTGGTTAAAAATTAACGGTTCCAAAGAGGGTGTAACGCAGTGGACAAACATATCTAGAGGACTATGCCGGACATTAGTGTTTTCGAAACGATAATGTTTAGAATGAGTATTGTCTCAAAGTACGCACGCTCATACTGTTTTGGAGGTAAAGAAACAAAGCACATATCCGGCTTAGTTGATGAGGATAAAGGCATCTGTTGGAATGATATCCACATTTTTGATCAACAGCTGCCATTACGCCAAGTTTTCTACATACTGAGCTTTGGTAGGATAACTTACTTTCACGAGAGGTTTTGCCTTATTTTTTGCAGATGATTTCTCAAAGATCACCTCTCACTCGAGAAATCGCATGAATCTTACTTTAGGTTTAAAAAAAATCAAGCGATATATTTATTTCTTTTTTTTTGTATATTAATGATAATAGTTTTTAGGAATTTGGTTTTTATTTTCAATGTAATCTTTTACATTCATCCCTACTTTCTTTAACTTGTTTATTTTATCACTTGATTTTAAAATATATTTTTATTTTTGAAAATTAGAAAGCAGAATTCCTTATAGTATGTTTTTAAAT